CGCGCTCCAAGAACATCGCGAACTTCCTTTCCGCATGGCCACACAGGCCCGCTCGTTGCTGTCGAGCTACTACCGCTACTCGGCTCTTGGGAGATTTCGCAATTAGGCGTATCTCGGGGCTCGCGCGCTCGCGGAATCGCTGATTAACGTATTAACAATTAATTTCTTTGCGCGATAAACCCGGCGAACTTTATGAACAATTCACCACGTCCCGTGAACGGATCATTAACATTTCGTATATTTTAAACTCGCGACGATTTATTGCGCATTTCTTCGGCGGCGTGATCGTGCGCGATACCCTCCTATCGCGCGAGACGCTGTGCTTTCGCCTCGCGTGCACATTGCGATAACTAGACAGAGAGATATAAATATGGGAGAGAGAGAGAGAGAGAGAAAGAGTGCGAAACAATAAAATTATCCATCTGAGAATTGCCGTGTATTAAATAATAAAATTTTATTAGGGGGAAAGTTGATTGTATTTTATTCGACAAAAAAAAATCCACGAATACAACACCGGATGTTAAAATCATGATTACAAAGAGAGCAGAAAACGCATAATGTCGAAGGTGATAAAAATAAGTGAAGTAACACGAAAAGTACAAAGAGAAGCGTTAAGGTTTTTACGAGCAACGACTTTGCTCCCGTAATTGTTCGGGCGCGTTGAGATACTTCACAGTCCGGCCTTTAAAATTTTTCGACTGGTTCTCTCCTTAGCTCTCCGCGTAAACGAGTTTATGCGCGCACGTGCCGATCCGGTTGCCGATAAATCGCGATCAATACGCGAATGGCGGCACTGTGTGTGAAGAGGGGTGAAATTCGTCGGGCGCGAAACGTAACGACGAAGAATGGTGTTATTGCTTGGCGCGAGATAATATAGCAGACGAGAATCTCTCATTTTTCTCACGCGGCAGTGAATCAACCTTTAAAGAGCGCGTCGTCGTTGCGGATTCAATGCGATTTCGCAAAATGTGAAAACGTAGTACGTCTTCGACACACACGTTCGACCCGCGTGTATCCCTCGCTATTTTCTCCGTCTGTGAATCACGCGCGCACGCACACGTGCGATCGTTGACAGGCGTCTTTTATTAAACGATCCTCAGACGATCAATATTTATCGTTTGATACTCGCGACATTCTTGTCAGTGTGTGTATGTGTGTATGTATGGATCGTATCTCTGATCGTTTGCTGATAAATGCGATACGAATTGACTTTTCCCCGACCGAACTGCGATCGCATCTTTTTACTACACATCGCAACTTTGTGTTTCGCGCTCTCAGTTTATTATTTATTAAGATAATTGAGACACTTTATTTCGTTTTATTTCGGAGTAAGAAACACCGTTCAAGAATTCGAAGATTAAACAAACAATCGAAGAACAGTTTCGTTGTTTTTTCTTTTATAATCTTCTTTTGTTTTTCTTCCTCAAAGCGTTGAATATTACAATCGTATCTTGACAAGTAAAGAAAAGATTGACGTCTCTCGACGTACTTGTCGGGAACAATATTGCTTTGAAAGTTCCTATTAGCGCACGCGACGTGAAGTGATATCGCCACTTTGCCGTGCGTAAGTTCGTCGACCGGCCGCGCACAGCAAAATGTTTTTGCGCTTGCGCTTGCTATTATTGTAACGGTGTAGAAAATTAGTCACGACGCGCCACAGCCCGGAGAAGAAAGCCGCCGAGCACGCGCTGACTGCCAACAACACTTTGCCATAACGACACGCAGATCGGAGAAGGCACAGACACGGAATACAAATTAAGATCAATTACGATATTGCAGTTTTTGCTCCACGCTCGGTTTTTTCCATATCGATCGCGAGGAAATGAAACGCGATGGAAAAGTTTTGTGAGATATTGATCCCCTTGTGTAAGCGCGTCCATTTGCGTGGACCCTTTCAGAGTTGAAGTGAAAAGATGTCTTTTTAATCTTAATGGTATACACGGGACACGTCTTCCGTCTGTCAGAGATACGTAACGTGATTACATACCTGACAGACAAGTGACACGCGTCCCTAAATGTCACTCTAAATACAACGCTTTCTCGCGCGTTTCGAAAGAAGAAAAATAAATCAACGAGAATAAATCAATTATAACAGGACAATCTCCTCTTTTTCCTATCCTCGGTCCACGCGTGTCAAAAGTTTTTCACATTTTTTTATTTATCAAGAAATTCATTGACATACGTGTGATATGTTGGGTAACAATTTTCTCGCAAAAGTTTCTTATAAATTTTGTTTACATATATTTAGGATGTACCTGCCTACATAAAAAAAACAACTAAAAATTAAAATAAAATTGTGAAATTGAAATTGTTGTTTTATATATACGAAGGATTGCACAATTGATTATATTTGAAATATGATTTCAATTTGTATGTGCGTGCTGCCGAAAAGTTTTTTTCAAAGTTACCGACTTAATTTAAACCACCGCCAGCGAGTATTAATGAGTTGCCTTCACGACTTTGACTTTCAAATCGATCTTGAGGAATGGAATACGTTCCGGAACCGCTCCGATCAGAAAATCGGTTAATGAACCGGTTTGTGCTTTGAGTTTCTCTCTTTCTCTCTCCCGGGCGCTCCCTCCAATTGAGCAATTGCAAATATAGTTTGAAGCACACGGGAGGCAATTGCCGAGTGGCGTTACATTGTACACGAGGTTGCGTGACTGGATCTTCGCCCGGGCGCGAGATAACGCGTCGCGCGGTCTTTACCGTAACGTCGGCCTCGCTCTTATTTGCACTACGGCCGGCGGAGATGATTAGGGTTGGGGGGCACACCGCTAGGCGCGCCGGGTACACGCACGGATTGTCAAGTGGAGCATCCCGCAGAGAGGTTTTGTTTCCGAGAAACGCGCGTTTACCGATCGCCGTTTATCATGATTATACCCGACGTGTGTGTACCTACGTCTAGATCGTACGTGCGCATGACTCCGATATTTCGCGTATAATACCACGTCGTCGCGGTAGAAGTCCACGTTTCACGGCTCGCTTAATCTTATCGCTTCGCATAGAGTCGTTCGCAAACAGGAAGCGTATCTTCCTGTCGAAAATTCTTGACCTCGATATTTCCTGCGCGTCTTACAATAAATATCGTATCAACTATTACACATCGTGTGTAACTATGACTCTCGGAAAATTCGATGAACCTTCCCGGAATATATTTGCATTGTGATTAGATTAAACGTATGACAAAAATTAACAATAAGAGAGAGAGAAAGAGAGAGATTAGATAAATTCTCGACGTCTCTCGACACGTGAGAACGAACGTTTTCCTGAGAAATTTTCTACTCTCGACACTTCCTACTGTTCGCCAGAACCACATCTGCGAGATATCGATAGTTTTATTTTCATGTTATAAGATAAGGCTTGAACAACTCCTCGGATATGTACACGCGAGGTCTTAAGGAATTCACGTAAGCGCTTGTGCAAACAGCGCGAGAATTCGCGATTCAACAAGCTATTAACATGACTGGCGACGTCACTGGCGCTGTACAAGCCGAATTACCGGTCTTGCCCGGGTCTCTTCTTCGCAAACGAAACGGGTTCGCGCTAATTAGCGCGAAAGTTGTTACCGCGCTCTTTACTTGACTTAACAAATGTCTCAAGTAAAGAGAAAAAAAAGAGACAAAATCGAAGCGAAAACTTGATTGCGCATTTTCAAAAAAAGAAAGGAGGAGGGAGAGAGAAAACTACAGGAAATATATGCGGCGCCGATGAAGAAAACGGAAGGTGGAAATATATATAACGAACGCGATGTTGTGTGTTACGACGCGTTCCTAAGTCACAATATTCCGTCGTAGGTGCGAGCGAGCGGACGAGCTCGGGGCTCGACCGGTCCGACCGACGAGGACCTCAAGTTCAGAGGTTATCTTATGTCATGGGAATGCTATGTACGTACACGAGACGCGTGTGTACGTACCGATGTTGACTAGTCGCGGGAAGATCGTGTGCGTGAAACGTACAACCGCTTGGAATGATGCGATCATGATGTTCCATCGTCGTTTGTTTGTGATATACGCGGTTTGTTCTAACGCGCGGATCTTTCATTGCATCTCTCACGTCACAGGATTATTGTGTTGTTTTTTTTAGGAAAATTCTGAGACCCCAATAAATGTCAGACCAAAACATTTTCGATGAAACGTACCGTAACGACAATCGTGACATTAATAATTAGACAATCGTGGCATTTGTTTGAGATTAATGATATGCGGAATGATACACGGAGAAAATTAATTAATCAAATTCCGATAAATGTTGAGAGAGAGAGAGAGAGAGAGAGAGAGAGAGGTAGTAGCTGTAATGTGCGTGTCATTTTGTAGCTTAATTACAGCGCATATACGTGTACGCGGATATACGCAGTTTCATACGTAACGCCGGTATAACTTGTAATTTCTAATAAAGAAGGGAGGCGGCCACGTTGTATTTTGCGCGCGAGCACACGCGCGGCAAATTAATTAATTGAGTTCCGGAACATTTTCATTTACAATTGCTTTCAACGCGCCGCGGTATTGTATCACACACACACACACACACACATGTGTCTACTATTCTATTTTAAATCTATATAACTAGAGCGCGCAATTAAATGTGGGTGCTGTTAAATAAACGCCGTGTAGAATTGAACGGAATAATAACACATTTATTGACGATTTGCGTGTATTTAAACGTTTTTATACAAAACTAAAAAGTTCCCACAAACTAAAGTGCTAACACGTTTAAAACCGTAATTGATAATTACAGGATGATAATTACAGAATGATAATTATACAGAACGCGGTAACAAAAAAAAAGATAGATTAATTGCATCTCTTTTTTAAATCACGTTTTGTGATCACGGTGTTCATCGTAAAACCGAGCCGATTTTAAAATCCTTGTATTTTTATAACACGGTCGAAGCTTCCAGTTCTCAACGTGTTTCTCGCACGTTTCCCCACTTAAAATCATAATAATCAGTATTGAAGTAACGATCATTTGTTTTTAAATCTCTCTTGTTTCTGTTCCAGGATTCATAAACTGCAATGCCGCCAACACGCTGCAGTCGCTCGCGCAGCTACATGGTGAGTGAAAACTAGTTGTTAATCTGTCCCTCTCTTCCCCTTTCGCCTCCCTTACACCGCCTACCCTCGCGCAGGTATATATTGTATACATCCCGCGTTACGTTTATTGCCAGAAGATGATCACCGGGGGAGGAAAGGCCGCTCTCGCGCGGATTCAATTAAAATTTATAGTTACGTAATACCCGTGCAAGAGGTATGCGCGATTTGCTGCCACGACGACGGCAATCGCGAAGTAGTAGAGGGATGGGAGGGGAAAGGGAACGTGCGCGGCCCTCCTCCGCAACGTTCACTTCCTCTTTCTTCATCGTAATCACCACCGGGGAAGGACTCGCGGGGCTCCGCAACCTGTACTTTGCTCCCGCAAGTCGGAGTCGCGCGGCGCTAAAAATTTCGTTTTTGATTTAGCGCGTGCGCCGCTGCCGCCACCGTAAATTTCACGACTCGCAGAGAGTGAAGGGGTTTGCAAAAGCGAGGCGCTTTTTACACCCGCGCGCGCGCGCGCGAGCCGAGCTAACAAGTTCAACGCGAGCAGAGCGCGTAATACATACATATATATACAGGGTGTCCCAGAATTGGTTTAACATCGCTCGTACACAGGTAGAAGGAATAAAACTAAGGTGAAAAGTCCTATACCATTTTGCTAGATTCGCAATAGTT